GATAGATAGATAGATAGATAGATAGATAGATGACTAATGTCCCTTCTACTCTAAATCATTGAGCTGTTACAGATCACAGTGGGCTATTACAATATAATTTATACAGACCCCCAATTGTCAGCTAACCAAAAATAAATATATCATATAATTTGTTATGCTGTTCCTTCTAATATAAGCAGAGTCGCCCTCAACTCAAATATTCACCTGCATAGCGAATCCAGCATTGCCCTGCTGCAATCTGCTTCACTGCTGCCACGGCCTGGGTCCCACGCTGCCATCTTGGTCCTCAGTCAATGGGAGCTGGCTGCCTCGTCTAGGTTCAGACTTCTGGTCCCCTGATCATGAGTGCCAAGTCTGCCCACCAGCTGCTGTGTGTCCCTGCTCCTGCAACCTCCTATATATGGAGGCTACGGGAGCAGGGGCGCATCATTCTCACCTTTGGGTGAGAAGAGAAAGGGCCACAGCAAAAAAAAAAAATATATAATTTAGATTGTAGATTTTTAGATTGTAAGCCCTCACGGGCAGGGACCTCCTTACCATCTTGTCTTGATTTGTTTTGTGATTGTAATGTCTTCCCTATATTGTAAAGCGCTGCACAAACTGTTGGCGCTATATAAATCTTGTATAATAATAATAATAATATTATTAATAAAGCCTATTAACTTTAACTGTAAATATTTAAAGTACATTGAACCCTAAGAGTGGTGCTTCCTCAGTGTAGACTTACACTTGCCTGGTTTGACAAGCAATATGCAAAACATCTAAACAAATCCCACTGAGATGCATAAGTACTGCACATAGGTTTCAATGGACCATAAAAGCAACAGGTGGAAAAGCTTGGGCTGCACTGATATAGGCAGGGCTACAGCAGCCTCACAACAGCTATGTACATATACCAGAAAGCTATGCTTGAACTATATTTAAAGGGAACATATAGTGGTTTTATATGAATTTGATATAGTTTACTATTCAGCCAGCAGATGGAGCTCTAGCCTCCTTTTCACATATTCACCTATTGCTGTTTTCAGCTCTGCCTGATGAAACTCACCTTCAGGATTCAAATGAATCATCAGATCAGCATCCTGATTAGACAACTAGGTTTTAATCAGATAAAGTAAGCTGCAATTCCAGCTTTGTTTGATATGCTGTGTGTTTAGCCAGCCCATAGTGCTTTGGGGATATTTTGCCATCAAATGTTTATTTGCAAAACAAAGATTGCATGTAAAAAAAAAAGGCGTACAGGTCGACAGTTTTAAACTTATATGAGCAAGCATGGTGGTGCGAAATACGTTAAAGTGATATTAAAGTGAAAAGGATTTTAAGCTATTTCAAATGCTGAGGAAATCACTCACAATGAATGTTGCTCCTTGATGTTTAAAGGTTTTAGTTTCCTGCAGAATCAGCTACTCCCCTGAGCACCGGCCCTGACTTCCTGTTTTAGAGTGACTCCTTTCTCAAGCAGAGCGCTATGCAGTCACCCTTGTATGTGCTAGTAACCTGTGTGTGTCTCCACAAACAAAAAGACACAGCAAATCAAGCTACTTTCCTCCCCTCTGGCACCCTACCTTTCCTCCTCCAAGCTAGTAGATGAACAGTTGCTGTAGTCTGCTCTATCACATTAAGGCTTAGTGATGTCCAGCCCAGCCTGGGCAAGGTGTGGATTCCATAGCTGGAAATGAAAAGGAGGCATGTCGGCATCCCCGCCCCAGGGTCCACCCTCCCTGATAGCCATTTGGTGACACAAATGCTGTGAAAACCTTATAAACTTTACAAAAAAGAAAACACCTTCTATAAAATTGACCCAAAATGATAATTTCCCCATAAGGACATAAACATATGTTATTTCTACAGCTTTTTCTTTATACACATATGTAAAATATATGTAAAAATTTAAAGTGATAGAATAAAAATAAATCCCTTATACCGCTCTGAATATATATTGTGTCTGTGGCTTTATAATCCAGGGTCCAACAAAATGTTATGACATTTTATTATAAAACATTTGCTCCCTGCTAAGGTAATCATTGGTGAAACATGTATGCATGATTGTGTGTTTAAACATATCCGAAAAGAAAAAGAGCTGAAAAGAAAAATATTGACAAAAACATTTTGCTTTGCATATATAAACTGTATACCACACGGGTATTTTAGCACCACAGAAACCATATAACAAAGCCGGAAAGGAAAATGTAATAAAGATATATGATTTTCAGTTTGAATAGCTCTATCAAAGCAGACCAGTTCATTACTCTGCTTAGCCATCAAAAAATGCCATGATTAATACGTGGCTGGGTTATGACCTCTGCTGTAGTTGAGCTGTTTAAATTGATAAAAGCTGTTGAGGTGATACTATAATCGCTCACATCTTTAGTGCCTCAGAAATGGCCTCACTGGGAATAGAACTAATTACTACACATCTGTATTTATTTGATCCACGCAGAATTATCCTTCTGTCACTCGCAGAAGAGGCTGCCAGGCTTTTGTATAACGCTAACTCATCCCGTACCGCCCTCCCGCCTCATATTGAAGTAGTAACGCTGAGAGAAAATCAATCGGAGATATAAAGAGACGAAAAGGGAGTTTATAGGGGCAGTCCGCATGCAATCTCCCCAGTATGGAGAGTTAAGTATTTATAACAGAAGACGTTCTTTTATATGGACACAGATCAGGTGTATAATATTGCGGCTAGCTGATTATTTTGTCTATCGTCTTAACATGCTCTTTGCCAGCTACAAAGGGGCCCGAGTTGTTAAGGCAAAGCAAAATAAGTGGTCAGCACTCTTGTCTGCAAGTAGGGGTCTAGTACCCTTTTGGGACACTTTCTACATAGTGTGTTTTGGTATTTGCTTAGGTTTTCTATCACACTTCAATTACATACTGGTAGGTTAGTCAGACTCTTCTCAAAACTAGTCTTGGTGTGTAAAGTGAAAGTAGAGATATTAAGATTTTAAAGAAGGACTCCAGTCTCACCTGTCTCTGTCCCATCTGCTTCTGCCTTTTGTGCTTGGCGGAACGATATGGTGCCCTGCAATTTTCTGTGCTTCTTCTCTTCACCGGATGCCTCCCAGTTTTAATTGAAGCATGCACAATCCTGTCTGAGGATGCCCAGTCGGCCACAAGACCCACTGACCATCATAGACTGTCTTTGACACACCACCCTGGGCTTCAGGAAGTCGATCAATGTGGTCTATGTTGTGCAAAACCTCCATAGAGCTAGTTTCATCTGGATGAGAAAGAGTTACTGCAGAGCTGCCCCCTGTGCACAATGAGTCCTACCTGGGACTTGGGAACTGCAGCTTACAGTGTATTAAAGTTTGTTGTGTTGCTCTCTGTGTGAATGCAGTGTTGTTTCTTAGTGGCTGGGGATATCTGCAGCTAGAACCGTCCTACGGATTCCTGCGGCAGGAATCCCAGGTTTTTACATATGCATTCACTGTTCCCGTTCGAGTTAATGATGGACAAGTGTGTAAATGAAAAGTGTCTTAAAACTATAGAACATCGTCCCCTCTTCTTGCCCCTATAACATGGTGGGTGGGAGGGGGGATTCTGTAATCCCCACACAGAGAGATGGCAACAATGTAACTGATAACAGTGAAGCAAAAGCAGAGAGCACATTGTCAGGTGAAAAAAGTCCATCATCAAGTTATCAGTTTACAAGATTTTTGGCAGGATCAATAAGTCTTTTTTGCACTTATCAAACAGATATAACAAAAAACCTTCAATGGTAATTGCCAGATAAAAAAGGAGCAAAGAAAACGTTTTTTTTTGCTAGAGATTACATATACATTAAGGATGGGACTATAGTTTGTAAAGAGCTGGAAAGTTTGTAAATACTAGTTAGGTTTAGTAGTAAAGTACTATAGTAAAACTGCAAAAAATGATCACAGATTGATCTCAATATTATTAAGCAAACAATAAAATGTATTAATAATGAAAATGTTGATTTTCTAACTCTAAAAATTCCTGATCATCCAGCCAGTGCCTGGTTCCTCCTTCAACATCCCTTTAAAATGGAGACCTTAAACCTATTGAGAACTCTGCCATCACGTAGACAGAGGAGCTTTGACTGGTATTGAGAAGGGTTCTTTGTGGTGACAACGAAGAGAACCCTCTTTCTCAATGCAGCCAGCATCCCACCCCAGGTATAACATAAGTTTGTCCACATTGCCTGGGCAGAAGACAGGTAAAACGTTGGAGGGCGCTAACTTCAGTTCCTTCTCTGGTGTTCACAAAAATGCTGCAGCCCCTGTAATGATGTAACAGAGGCTACAAAGTGGATTTCCCTCTTCCTCAACGCAAGTCAGCACTCCACTCCAGATATTGTAATTGACAAGATAAGGTTGTCCACATTGCCTGGGCAGAAGACGGGTGAAAGTGATACAGGGTGCTATCTCCAGTCCCTTCTTCGTTGATCAAAAGAGTGCTGTAGCCCCTGTACTAATGTCACAGGGCTACAAAATGGATTTCCAAGGTTCCAGGACAAGGAAAATAGAAAAAAAACACTACAGACTATAAAAGGGGCAGAGGAGACGATAATTAAAAAACAAAACAAAAAAACCTAACTATTTTACTCTTACCTATAGACCATTCCCCTCACAGTGAATTTACACAGGGCAAGACACCTTGAACAATAGGTCATACCTTACAGCTTCATGGGGCTAGGATCCCAATTGGGTTCTTCCTGCAGTGATGCTTATTAGAGGATTCCTCCTGTTCAATCTCGGAATACTGTCTAATATATCTAATTTCTTTGCTTTTGTAAAACCAAAAATAAAGACTAAAAAAAAAAAAAAAAAATGACTATAGATGTACTTTTAAAGATCCGTTTAATTAGTTCAATCTCTGAGTATAGGAACAAGATATCTGATTGGTTGCTAGAAGCTGCAGCTTCTTTATTACTCCAAGATTCCTCTCACCAGTTTCCTTAAAAATCAGTCCCACTGTATGTCTTTCAAATTCCAAATAAGCAAATTGCATAAGGTACATTTTCTAAGACTTACAGGAAATCTGTCCACAGCCTCAGGGGTGATGATGGTAAATCTCTCCTGCAGCTCAGTCGCATCTTGTGGATTCTCAGACAGCACTGCTGCCCTCAGACCCAGAAGTTTACGGTAGTATTGTGCCATCTCCTCATCCAACTTCACAGGGCATATGTAGATGACGTCCACATTGGGGTCTACAGGACAGGAATATCTTATGTAGTAAATAGAGGGTCAGAACTACAGTTATTGATGTTATTGTAAGACTGGAGAAAAGTGGACTTGCTCGTACCAACCAACCCACCAGGGTTCACCACGCATTTTGTACTAATCAGTGCTTTGGCATATACATCAGTTTTTCCACCTGTTTTCTTAAATGAAACCCAGAGGGTTAAATCTAAAAAAACTAGGCAGCCTAAAAATGAGTTGCACTTTTCTGAAAACGCATCTTGATCATTATTTATTTTGCTAAATAATAATAGGAAATGCACAATGAATAATCTGCACATCAGGAAAACACAAAAACTTTAAGAAAATGTACACAACACACAGAGATTGCACATGATAAGTATTGTAATTAGTTATCTTTTGCTTTAGAGCTCAATCTAAAGTCTATACAATGTATGATGTCCCTATACTGTTGATACACGGTCCAGAAGAGGGCAAAAAAGAATCCTAATGTAACAAACCATCACTTTATCTCCACAGTAGAAAACAGGCTCTTTCTTGACCCCCTACAGTGGCCTTCCTGGACCAGGATGAATCCTAGCTGAGGTGGACAGTAAGCATGCCATCAGACCCACAATTCACTTACTGTATACTATTGGCCATCACAGCTTCATTTGGCAGCTTAAAAGTTTGATTACCCCTACAGTGAATAACTCCATATTAGAGATGTATACTGCTGTTCTGAGGTCGCCTTCACCAGCACAACTCTAATGGGACCTGGGGTTCTTTGCATCAGCAGCACTTCAGAAGTTTTTACTTAGGACTGGCTGTTTATCCAGGTGCAATGCAAGGCATCTAAATGGGACATACAGTGCATTCAGAAAGTATTTAGACCCCCTCCACTTTTTTTCAATTTTGTTATGTTGCAGCCTGATACTACAGTTGTTAAAATTCTTTTTTTTTCTCCTCATTAACCCACACTCTGTACCCCATAATGACAAATTGAGAACAGAATTTTAGAAATGTTTGCAAATGTATGAAAAAGGAAAAACTGAAATATCACATTGGCATAAGTATTCACACCCTTTGCAACAACACGTGAAATTTAGCTCTGGTGCCTCCCATTTCTCCTGATCATTCCCGAGAAGTTTCTACACCTTGATTGGAGTCCACCTGTGGTAAATTACATTGATTGGACATGATTTGGAAAGGCGCACACCTCTCTATAAAAGGCTTCACAGCTGACAATGCATACGGTATCAGAGCAAAAGCCATGAGGTTAAAGGAACTGCCTGCAGAGCTCAAAAAAACGGATTATTGCAAGGCACAAATCTGGGGAAGGCAACAAAAACTATTTCTGCTGCACTGAAGGTTCCCGAGAGCACAGTGGCCTCCATAATTCTCAAATGGAAGACGTTTGGCACAACCAGAACTCTTCTAAGAGCTGGTCGCCCGGCCAAACTGAGCAATCGGGGGAGAAGGGCCTTAGTAAGAGAGGTGGCCAAAGAACCTGATGGTCACTCTGACTGAACTCCAGAGATCTTGTGTGGAGATGAGACAAAGTTCCAGAAGGACAACCATTACTGCAGCCCTCCACCGAACTGGCCTTTTGACAGAGTGGCTAGACGAAAGCCTCTCCACAGTGCAAAACACGTGAAAGCCTGCTTGGAGTTTGCAAAAAAGCACCTGAAGGACTCTCTGTGAGGAAAAAGGTTCTCTGGTCTGTTGAAACTAAGATTCAACTGTTTGGCTAAATTTCTAAACTTTATGCCTGAAGGAAACCAGGCACTGCTCATCCCCTGCCCAATACCATCCCAATAGTGAAGCATGGTGGTGACAGTATCATGCTCTGGGGGTGTTTTTCAGCAGCAGGGACTGGGAGACAGGTCAGGGTTGAGGGAAAGCTGAATGGAGCAAAGTACAGAGATATCCGAAAATGAAAACCTGTTCCACAGAGTTTAGAACCTCAGACTGGGCCGGAGGTTCACCTTTTAACATGACAATGTTCCTAAGCACACAGCCAAGAAAACACAGGAGTGGCTTAGGGACAATTCTGTGAATGTCCTAGAGTAGCCCAGCCAGAGCCCTGACTTGAACACTATTGAACACCTCTGGAGAGATCTGAAAATGGCTGTCCAACGACGGCCCCCATCCAACCTGACTGAGCTTGAGAGGATTTGCAAAGAAGAATGACAGAAAATCCCCCAATCCAGGTGTGCAAAGCTTGTTGCGTCATACCCAAAATTACTCAAGGCTGTAATTGCTGCCAAATGTGCTTCAACAAAGTGCTGAGTAAAGGGTCTGAACACTTAGTACATGTGATATTTCAGTTTTTACTTTTTAATAAATTCACAGTTATAGAACATATTTGTGGTATCCTCTGATTGGTTTATCTTCAGTTGGGGGGGGATACAGACATTCTTATAATTTTTAGTAAGGAATAAAAATCCAACAAAGGCTTAATATAAGACAGGAACATTACTAAAATGCTTTCTGTATAACGCATGAGATGTTCAGCTGGGTGAACCCTTTTAAAGGACATGCAGTGGCTAGACTGTGATGGCGGTTTTGTAAGTCCTGTCCACTTTTTCTTTCCAGTCTAACAATTCAACCTTTCAGTTTTTCTTGTTTTTCTTTCTTATCTTTTGAGGTCAACAATGAACTATGGGTATTGATTTCCTTTCACAAATAAAAACATCAGCAATATTTTATCCACAATCTACATGTAATAGGAATTCTTTAGAATGCTCTGATGAATAAAGATTATATCATACACACTATAACACTGAATAAAAATGTGGAGCATTATACGTGTCCTAGTTACTTTTTATTATCTATGGTCCCTTTCGTATTATGGATACCTCCTTTCCTACATAAGTATATATTTTTCTGCTCTGATAATTATTCATAGAAAGCTCCATACATCAGTTCAGCCCTGCTTATTATCCAAATAGCAATCTCCGGTAATCACTCCGTTTGTTCTATAGGCACATAACCGTCCACAACTCTTCCTATTGTTCAATTACAATAACTTCTCGCTCTGACTCCTTCTAGTGCTCTATACACAATCCATATCTCTATCTACTCATTGCTTTATGTAACTGCTCCCTGTAATTATTTCTATTGCTCCATATAATTGCCCACAGCAAACTATTTCACACACCATTTCTTATTTAAAGTAAAACAAATAACTGTGTTGTACTTATATTTCACACTGTGCTCTGGAAATGTCCCCTCTGAACTTGACCACGGAACTTGTAATTTACCTGCTATGTCACACAGACGTCCCATCTGGAGGTTCTGCTCAATGTGGAGGTCGGTGGCCTGAGCTCTCTGCTCTTCTGTGTAACCTGCATTAAATGAGAATAAATCACCTTTAATAATGTTTATGAAGAGGATTGAGGATAATTCTACATTATGGTGTTAATAAAAGCTCACCACCACCTTCAGCTGCGTACCACATAAGATATTATTAGATCTGATGTATAAAAAAAAAGATAGAAAAGTGGAGGTACTGCCAAGATCAACCAATCAGACCCCAGCAGCAAAGTAATAAAGAAAGCTAATGGCTGATTGGTAAATAGGGGCAAGAGCTCAATATCTGATTCTACTGCAATATTTTAGAACCACAAGCTAAACCCCATGCATGAAATACACATACAGTATGTGCACTGTCTTATCTAAAAAAAGGATTTGTAATTCTATTCATCCAATTTTGTGATTCATACACTTCTACCGGGCAGCAAGGAGGAATTCAGCACTGTATCTGTTGGAATTAAAGCAAACCCATACTTTGCCCATGCAGCACAAGGCAACTGGTCTACTTTAAAGCTCGAACCACCAGCAGTACATATTACATTTCCTTCACTTCCACAACACTCTGTTCAGTCACTGGGGGTGCTACAGAGACTGACTGGCTTCTAGTGCTGCACCATTGGTTCATAACGTTGCCCTGTTGGCTCCTGGTGCTGCCCCATTGGCTCATAGCGTTGCCCTGTTGGCCGCTGGTGCTGCCCCATTGGCTCCTGGTGCTGCCCCATTGGCTCCTGGTGCTGCCCCATTGGCTCCTGGTGCTGTCCCATTGACTCCTGGTGCTGTCCCATAGGCTCCTGGTGCTGTCCCATAGGCTCCTGGTGCTGCCCCATTTGCTCCTGGTTCTGTCCCATAGGCTCCTGGTTCTGTCCCATAGGCTCCTGGTGCTGCCCTTTTCTCCCAGTCTAAGCACCGCTGTGCAGGTCATGTCATAGGGGGGGATAAGGAGGTATCCTGTAAGTGTAGTTTAAGTTGATTGTGTACATCTCAGAACAGGGTGGATAAAAATATAAACCATTTGGTATATAAAACAGATCAGCTATATCTATAATCTGTGTATTTAGCGGTTTGCATAGCGTTCAACTTTAAAGCAAAATTTTAAACCAACAGGTTTTGTTTGCCCCTCTCCCCAGCATCATATGACAGCCTATCCTTAACTTCCTCACCCCTATTCAGTCACCAGGATAGAGGTAAGGAAGCACTAAGTAAGCCCCAAGGTACATTAGTTAAAGCTTATACAGTACTGAGGACTCTCTTTCAACCAGTACTGTCACATGAGAGGAAGGCAAGTCACATGTTCCTCCATACTGGGAAGTACTGGGTATTTTCTTTGTTCCTGGTAGTTAAATGGAGTGGTGGGGGAGCGAATGAAAAGTTAGGATATATTGTTTGGCATTGCAACAAACCTGCTGCTTTGCCCTGCATGGCCAAATCACAGGTTTGTTTTAAATTTGATGACAGAAGGACACCATAGTATGAAGGGAGGAGCCTAACCCATCAATTGTAGTGAAGATTACCCCCCTCTTTCTCAGAGGGGTACTTAAATCATATTTTTCCTGTATATCTGTCTGTAGTAGGGTCCAGAAGGTGTTCTTCCACAGGTTCTTGCATGTTTTTATGCTTCTGCCTGCCTTACTCTAGTCATACAAATGACTATCATATATGAATATCAGCCATTTCCTGCTGGATCGGTTTAATTCGATCCGTGGATGGCCCTGCGACAGCACCTGCCTCGACAAACTTTGATCTGAAAATCAAAACCGGGCAGAAATTTATTGGCAAACAGTGACTGCGAGCAGCTGAAGTCATTGTTTGGGTATTCTGACTCTTGCGGGCGCTGGCTATCAGAATACAATAGCCTGCAGGACAGATTTCTCCACCCACGCTGTTCAGCATAGAAATGGGAATAAACTGATTTTCTTTTTTCCAGTCTGCAGGGCTGAGCAAGCAAATTTTAAAGGTATATGGCCAGATTAACTAAAGTTAATCCATTATACTTATTGCCCGCACTTTATGGAGTTTCAGGGGCTTCTCTATGAAGTAAACTTTTTGTATAAAAAGTATGCTAACAAAACTACATACTATTGTCTTTAAAAAGTTAACAAAATTGTCTACACTGTATGAGATTCACCTTCCACCTCAAATATGAACCGCATCAATCATGAACCCTTATGCAATGAGCTCTACTCATGGACAAAGTCCAGACTAGAAGACACCTCTCACTAGGGATGTTCAAGTACTGCACTTGGTACATGTGCAGATACTTTTCCAGCTCCAAGACTAGTCTAGAGAAAAATTCAAAAAAGTTAGGAGGCAGCTGTCATTTGTAAGGAGCATACAGGGCTCCTGGGATTTGTGTATGTTTGTTTTAATGTATGATTTTGTTTTTATAAATATAAATAAGAGATGCACTGATACCATTTTTACAAATACTGATACTTGTCCAAGTACTCACAGATACAAGTACTGATACATTTTTGTTTAGTATTCTAAACAATACAGACTAATGATTTCAGGACAGTGGTGGAGAGCCAGAGCCAGGTCCCAACTGCAACCACTGCAACCCTGGTAGTTCTCGTGAAAATGCCAAGTATCGGCACTGGTATCTGAACTGGTATCTGAACATCCCTACCGCTCATCATTCTCAAATGTCTATAATAACTTAGGGGGTCTCTTCACTAAGCTGCCGTAGGCAGCCCAGTGAATGACCGACCTAAAGTGAAGTGAGCCAAACGCTGTTCGGCTATTCACTTCAGGGTGGTACGGCTGATTTCAGCCGTAAATCGGCTGAAATCAGCCGTACATCAGGTGGCTTCGGGTCGGCCGAACATGCTCAGCATGTTCGGCTGACCCGAAGTGGAGAAGGAGTTCAACTCAGCCGATCTAACATCTGGATCGGCTAAGCCGAACCTCCGGCAGGCTGTATTGCGATTGTAGTTCAACACAGGAACGAGCTTGGAGCGGTGGCTATTTTACAGCACACACGGGGACCATGGGGAACAAAAGTAGCCCTCCTCCAGAAGGAAGGACAGTGTCAGCACCAATTCAGAGATGATTTGAGGATCTACAGCCGAGTGATACACAAATAAGATACAGTTTTGTTAATAGTTAAGGTACTTGAATGCATTTTTAAGATTTATCTCCTGAGTTTAGATTTAGAATGCTCTGATGAATAAAGATTATATCATACACACTATAACACTGAATAAAAATGTGGAGCATTATACGTGTCCTAGTTACTTTTTATTATCTATGGTCCCTTTCGTATTATGGATACCTCCTTTCCTACATAAGTATATATTTTTCTGCTCTGATAATTATTCATAGAAAGCTCCATACATCAGTTCAGCCCTGCTTATTATCCAAATAGCAATCTCCGGTAATCACTCCGTTTGTTCTATAGGCACATAACCGTCCACAACTCTTCCTATTGTTCAATTACAATAACTTCTCGCTCTGACTCCTTCTAGTGCTCTATACACAATCCATATCTCTATCTACTCATTGCTTTATGTAACTGCTCCCTGTAATTATTTCTATTGCTCCATATAATTGCCCACAGCAAACTATTTCACACACCATTTCTTATTTAAAGTAAAACAAATAACTGTGTTGTACTTATATTTCACACTGTGCTCTGGAAATGTCCCCTCTGAACTTGACCACGGAACTTGTAATTTACCTGCTATGTCACACAGACGTCCCATCTGGAGGTTCTGCTCAATGTGGAGGTCGGTGGCCTGAGCTCTCTGCTCTTCTGTGTAACCTGCATTAAATGAGAATAAATCACCTTTAATAATGTTTATGAAGAGGATTGAGGATAATTCTACATTATGGTGTTAATAAAAGCTCACCACCACCTTCAGCTGCGTACCACATAAGATATTATTAGATCTGATGTATAAAAAAAAAGATAGAAAAGTGGAGGTACTGCCAGGATCAACCAATCAGACCCCAGCAGCAAAGTAATAAAGAAAGCTAATGGCTGATTGGTAAATAGGGGCAAGAGCTCAATATCTGATTCTACTGCAATATTTTAGAACCACAAGCTAAACCCCATGCATGAAATACACATACAGTATGTGCACTGTCTTATCTAAAAAAAGGATTTGTAATTCTATTCATCCAATTTTGTGATTCATACACTTCTACCGGGCAGCAAGGAGGAATTCAGCACTGTATCTGTTGGAATTAAAGCAAACCCATACTTTGCCCATGCAGCACAAGGCAACTGGTCTACTTTAAAGCTCGAACCACCAGCAGTACATATTACATTTCCTTCACTTCCACAACACTCTGTTCAGTCACTGGGGGTGCTACAGAGACTGACTGGCTTCTAGTGCTGCACCATTGGTTCATAACGTTGCCCTGTTGGCTCCTGGTGCTGCCCCATTGGCTCCTGGTGCTGTCCCATTGACTCCTGGTGCTGTCCCATAGGCTCCTGGTGCTGTCCCATAGGCTCCTGGTGCTGCCCCATTTGCTCCTGGTTCTGTCCCATAGGCTCCTGGTTCTGTCCCATAGGCTCCTGGTGCTGCCCTTTTCTCCCAGTCTAAGCACCGCTGTGCAGGTCATGTCATAGGGGGGGATAAGGAGGTATCCTGTAAGTGTAGTTTAAGTTGATTGTGTACATCTCAGAACAGGGTGGATAAAAATATAAACCATTTGGTATATAAAACAGATCAGCTATATCTATAATCTGTGTATTTAGCGGTTTGCATAGCGTTCAACTTTAAAGCAAAATTTTAAACCAACAGGTTTTGTTTGCCCCTCTCCCCAGCATCATATGACAGCCTATCCTTAACTTCCTCACCCCTATTCAGTCACCAGGATAGAGGTAAGGAAGCACTAAGTAAGCCCCAAGGTACATTAGTTAAAGCTTATACAGTACTGAGGACTCTCTTTCAACCAGTACTGTCACATGAGAGGAAGGCAAGTCACATGTTCCTCCATACTGGGAAGTACTGGGTATTTTCTTTGTTCCTGGTAGTTAAATGGAGTGGTGGGGGAGCGAATGAAAAGTTAGGATATATTGTTTGGCATTGCAACAAACCTGCTGCTTTGCCCTGCATGGCCAAATCACAGGTTTGTTTTAAATTTGATGACAGAAGGACACCATAGTATGAAGGGAGGAGCCTAACCCATCAATTGTAGTGAAGATTACCCCCCTCTTTCTCAGAGGGGTACTTAAATCATATTTTTCCTGTATATCTGTCTGTAGTAGGGTCCAGAAGGTGTTCTTCCACAGGTTCTTGCATGTTTTTATGCTTCTGCCTGCCTTACTCTAGTCATACAAATGACTATCATATATGAATATCAGCCATTTCCTGCTGGATCGGTTTAATTCGATCCGTGGATGGCCCTGCGACAGCACCTGCCTCGACAAACTTTGATCTGAAAATCAAAACCGGGCAGAAATTTATTGGCAAACAGTGACTGCGAGCAGCTGAAGTCATTGTTTGGGTATTCTGACTCTTGCGGGCGCTGGCTATCAGAATACAATAGCCTGCAGGACAGATTTCTCCACCCACGCTGTTCAGCATAGAAATGGGAATAAACTGATTTTCTTTTTTCCAGTCTGCAGGGCTGAGCAAGCAAATTTTAAAGGTATATGGCCAGATTAACTAAAGTTAATCCATTATACTTATTGCCCGCACTTTATGGAGTTTCAGGGGCTTCTCTATGAAGTAAACTTTTTGTATAAAAAGTATGCTAACAAAACTACATACTATTGTCTTTAAAAAGTTAACAAAATTGTCTACACTGTATGAGATTCACCTTCCACCTCAAATATGAACCGCATCAATCATGAACCCTTATGCAATGAGCTCTACTCATGGACAAAGTCCAGACTAGAAGACACCTCTCACTAGGGATGTTCAAGTACTGCACTTGGTACATGTGCAGATACTTTTCCAGCTCCAAGACTAGTCTAGAGAAAAATTCAAAAAAGTTAGGAGGCAGCTGTCATTTGTAAGGAGCATACAGGGCTCCTGGGATTTGTGTATGTTTGTTTTAATGTATGATTTTGTTTTTATAAATATAAATAAGAGATGCACTGATACCATTTTTACAAATACTGATACTTGTCCAAGTACTCACAGATACAAGTACTGATACATTTTTGTTTAGTATTCTAAACAATACAGACTAATGATTTCAGGACAGTGGTGGAGAGCCAGAGCCAGGTCCCAACTGCAACCACTGCAACCCTGGTAGTTCTCGTGAAAATGCCAAGTATCGGCACTGGTATCTGAACTGGTATCTGAACATCCCTACCGCTCATCATTCTCAAATGTCTATAATAACTTAGGGGGTCTCTTCACTAAGCTGCCGTAGGCAGCCCAGTGAATGACCGACCTAAAGTGAAGTGAGCCAAACGCTGTTCGGCTATTCACTTCAGGGTGGTACGGCTGATTTCAGCCGTAAATCGGCTGAAATCAGCCGTACATCAGGTGGCTTCGGGTCGGCCGAACATGCTCAGCATGTTCGGCTGACCCGAAGTGGAGAAGGAGTTCAACTCAGCCGATCTAACATCTGGATCGGCTAAGCCGAACCTCCGGCAGGCTGTATTGCGATTGTAGTTCAACACAGGAACGAGCTTGGAGCGGTGGCTATTTTACAGCACACACGGGGACCATGGGGAACAAAAGTAGCCCTCCTCCAGAAGGAAGGACAGTGTCAGCACCAATTCAGAGATGATTTGAGGATCTACAGCCGAGTGATACACAAATAAGATACAGTTTTGTTAATAGTTAAGGTACTTGAATGCATTTTTAAGATTTATCTCCTGAGTTTAGTCTCACTTTAACTCCTTGTTTATGCCTAGAAGACAGGAAAAAGCTGTTTTACTTACCTGATCCCTGCTCTCGCCGGCTACCTTCAGGGTGCTAGCCTTGGTCCCCACAGCCTCTCCTCCCTATCACTCCTGCGCTCGAAGGACCACTGCCGCGATGTGGTGGTTCCATGGCCCTGCACTGTACGTGAGGACACGGAGGGACAGTCCACAGCCAGAGCAATTAGGGAGAAGAGAAGAGCGGGGATCAGGTAAGTAAAACAGCTCTAGGCATAAACGAGCAGTTAACACTTAGGCCCCGTTCACATGTAGCGAATTCTTGCGCGATTTCCGCCGCGATATCGCGCATTTTTGCCGCGCGATATCGCGAGAAGTCGCCGGCCAATGCTATTCAATGGAGCTGTCTTAACTCCATGTCGCGCGTTGCGGTCGCAAGTCGCTTCTACCGGACCCTTTTTTCGGCGGATATTGCCTCTTTTCTATGGAGCCCGACGGAGAAGGTCGCGCTACCGCCGCTGGATCGTCGCTGGAACGTCGCCCCCCGAAAGTCGCGCTATCCCGGCCGTGCGGATCCGCTGCAAAAGGTATGTCGCTACGTGTGAATGGGGTCTTACTGTGCAGAGGGTGCCCCACTGCAAGGCAAAACTTTTCACTTCCCTGGAGTGGGGTTTACATAGTAACCCTAATTTATTTTCAACTCCTAATTTGTGAGTGCTCCTCACAGTGACTGCAGGAGGAAGCATTTGGTGATGTAAGTGTGTCATGCCAGTTTAATTAAACTGCAGCAATTATTTTCTTTCTTGTCTCTCTCTTCTATTCAGTGCTTTCAAGATAACAGGTTTCCAGATGACTGATCCCTTACCTCTTAATAAATGAATCCAGTTTTATGTGATAAAATGAACAAAGAAGTGTAAATGCTTTGTTTAGCCTGCAAAGCTTTATTAACATCCAAATCTCCGCCACCCGGTCTTGTAACCCAGATAGAGTGAAGCCATGCACAGCCTGCATTCCTACACATATAATGTAGTCATCCCCTTGCCTGGCACTAAGCAGCCGAGGGGGGGGGAGGATGGGCATTCCCCAGGGGATTCTGCACACCTATTTGCCTGCACTTTGCACGGAAACCTCCTTTTAAGTTCCTCTAATTCATAAATGTAATTAAATAATTACATTAGTGCTAATTAACATGAAACTGCAGATTATTTAAGCGCAAAAAACACTATTCAACTTCTTAATTATTCTTGTTCACACAGCATTTCCTTTTGCTTGCGCGCCCTAGGTGCAGATAAAGCAGCCCATCTGCTGGTAATTAGAACTAAATAATTTCCGACAATGTAGCTTATCATTTTGACTGCACATTTGATTAAAAACAGTGTACAAGCAATATCCCAGAGCGACAGAAGGGGTGGGGGAGGGATGGGGCGAGGGGATACGTGACCCAAGGGGCTGCGCTAGGTGAATGTTTGTAATAATATAAGGAGCAGACAAGCAAGCTGTAACACAAATATAAAGATGTATAGACAGACAATGTCACACAGACAGAGGCACAATTCTTGCACACACTATAAAAGCCTAGAAACAATATATAAAAAGCAATAAAAATGAGTTAATGGAACCATAAAAGTCAGATACAAATTAACGCTAAATAATTTGTGCACATGAGCGCTATATGCCGTAATATAAAAAAATAATAATATATATATACAATGTATACAGACACACAAAAAGTGTGCAGCTACATAGCTCTATCCATTGAACACAAGGAAATCAAACACGTGATATACATGCGCATAAAAACAGGGATTACATACACATACCATTTTCTGAATAACAACAAAGATACACAGATGTAAAGACACAGACACAGTGTTACATCCTTGCAAACATAGGTGTGTACATATACACACATATATATATATATAAATAGATAGATATATCTATCTATATCTATCTATATATAGATAGATATAGATAGATATATATACACACACACACACCTACAGATACATACACAATTAGATACATAGAGAGAAGCATTCTTACATTTCATACCCATAGTAATGTACACAAACATACGCACGTTGATACGTATGACATGCATATATGTATGTACGTGCACAAAAGCACATGCACACACAGATATATACAAAACATACACACGCAAAAAGGCACACATACATAAATAACACATATAGACTTGCAGGAATATATGTAGGTATTGGAGAATATATGTAGGAGTACACCATGACATACACATACAAACAGATAGGCGCACATAAAGACATGCACTTAAACAAAGCTGGGCTCACAAAGACACACAAAACGCATACATACACATCATTGCAAAGAAGATGCACATGCACACAGAATGAGAGCCATATGCACGGACCAACGCACATTCTCATCAAAACCTCAATCCATACACACATATACAGCTTGAAAACACACACGTATATACACACAAAATGCATACTTTCATACAAAAGCAAAAACACGCACATGCACACAGAATGAGATCCATATGCACAGGCGGATACGTGTTCCCATCAAAACCTCAATCCATACACACAGATGCACACATAGACGGCTACATACACACACAAAGACACACATATACTCACACACATATGCACACAGAAGATTCTTAACTCATTTCACACAGATGAAAAGCAAATTATCAGAAATGGCCCCTCGGCTGCTCATCTCCCTCCTTATCCCCCACATCCCATAATGAGTTTATTTGTTTAACTCCCCGAATTAAACGCCGCTTCTAGTGCGGGTCTGGTAATATCACTCTCATCATGTCGAGAACATTTTCCTGCAGAGACCCATCTGAATAAGAGAAGGTCCCCGCGCTGAACTCAATCAGGGAAGCGTAATGTGCTGGGTAATAGAGGTGGCTGATAGATCTGGAGGCTAAGAGCTCTTTACCTAATGATGGGATATGGATAATGCTCCTCCTGCACGTCCTGATGTGATTCCAGTTGGATGCCAGATGCTAAAAAATCAAGGGAAGAGCAATGAGTGAGAGAGGCAGTCTGGAACACACTTATCGGAGAGGGCGAGGGGGGTCTTAAGCTTCCTTCCTTCATCCTGCCGTACGGTTAATCCAAGCTTAAATTATATTAATTGATTTAATTATATGCTTTAAAAACATCTCCACCCCCCCTCCCCAATTAATTTAATTAGGCGACTGCATGATGCGGCTGGTGAGGGGAGATTAAGGCCGTACTCGCTTTAATTAAAAGAATATGAATTAACATGGAAAGTGTGGGGTGGGGGTAGGTGGGAGGTAAAGCAAATATAAATGAAATGGTGCGCACTAATTAAAAGGCCGTGTTAAATACTTCTTGACAGAGCAATGACAGCACAGAGGTGTTTAATCCCCCTGTAAGTGAGAAGAGGTTTGATTGTGAAATGTACACAGGCCATACAATCTGTGCTTCCCCGCACAATACCGAATGCACATACTCTCACTGCATCGGAAAGACAACTAGGACACAGTGTTAAAGAGGAACTCAACTCCAGCAGCTGTGCCCAAACAGATGCAGGCACAGGGAAAAGGACCAGTCACCAGTATTGCCTGTCATATCCCTGAATTTGAGCTTTGACTTCTTATGCCTTGTTCTGCACTATGTGTGGAGTCGGCCATCTTGGTAGAGGCAGGGCCTTGCTTGTGTCAGAACCTCCTGCAAGGAGAACAGTGAGGAGCATTATAGTGACATAACCAAATCTCACTCCAAGGGGGTTATTCACAAAAGGGTGACGTGAGCTGAATTGGAGAATGTTTCCAAATCAGCTATGTTGTCCTAGATTGTTCTCTTCTCCTGCCTTCTCCAAACTCTTCACCTTTCTGTGAATAACCCCCTAAATCTTCTGAGACTAGAAATCAAAGCAAGCAGCACCTAATATCTCACACTGCAGATATATAGCTATGAGGCTGTAGGTGCAGGAGTGCCTTGGCACACTCACATACCAGGAAGTCCACTGCTTTTTTCAGGAGGTATTCCAGACAAAGGTACATTTTTTGGATACAGCTTAGACACAGTTATTATTCAAAATTTTCCCTATAACAGCAAATCTTCACTTTTTGAGTACATTTCCACATTAAAGTAATATTAAACTCTCAAACTTTTTTTTAATAATGAATCCAGATCAAACAAATATAACTGCCCAGCAAAAGTATTCCTTTACATTTTTGCCCAAACACTTACAGTCATCGTGTTTCCAAACAGCTCCCACTCTCTCAACTCAGCTACCCTGAACTTCCTGTCCAGTACAAGATCACAAGGGAGAGCACAGTCTCCAACAGCTGTTAAGCTATTAGCTTGGAGAAGTGAAGAGGAAGGAAGGAGTAGCAGGGAGGAGAGGAGTATTTTGCTGTGCCTGTGTATTTTTGGAGACACACACACAGCTTACTAGTACACACACAAGGGTGACTTCATTGGACCGTGAAAGGGAAAGGAGCCACCCTAAAACAGGATATCAGGGCCAGTGCTCAGGGGACCAGCTGATTCTGCAGGAAAATAAAACATTTCATATTTGGAAACTAAAACATTTGAATATTAAGAGGCAGCATCCATTGTAAGTGATTTCATCAGCATTTGAAATAGCTTAAACTTTTGACTTTAACATCACTTTAAGAAAGAAAGCGATCCTTCCCCCTATGTCAGGGGGTCAGAGTGGCATTAAACATGAATTGTATATTGTATCTGTGAGCAGCAATGCCTATTTTGTGCTTGTTTTTGTGTTGTTTTGTTTGGATAGAAGGAGGAAGGGTTAGAAATTCTGTGTTAAATGTGATCTTTGCTCCTGTTGAGGATATTTCCCCTTCCTTTTTTGTCTGACACACCTCACCTGGGCAGGAAGTGAGTATAAATCTCTTCTTTGAGGACACAGGCATCAACAAAATCCTGACAAGTAGATATCTTTCCCAGTTTACTAAGAAATGTTTCCATTCCCATTTTTACAAGACTCTGGACCTGGCATGTCATGTGACTGCGGATTCAGGTAAAAGGAATTTTTACTTACATTTTTTCTATTATCTTTTTT